GGATGGAGGGCAGGCTGGAACCAATGATTCTCTCTGCAGACCTGACAGTCCGTTGTTTAGTGGCCAATCCAAACCACACAGTTATGGAAGAACAGACTGGATGATGGTGGAGTAAAACAGAATCAGCAGCTCCTGAGTACTTCCTGAGCTGGCGCAGGAAGTACAACCACTGCTGGGCCTTTTTCCTGATGGTGTCCATGTTGGAGGCCCACTTCAGGTCCTGGGAGATTGTGGATCCCAGAAACCTGAAGGTCTCTACAGCGGACACAGTGTTGTTGAGTATGGTGAGGGGGGGCAGTGTTGGGGGGCTCCTCCTGAAGTCCACTGTCATCTCCACAGTTTTGAGCTTGTTCAGAGCAGTGCTTGTGTAGAGCAGTGGTTCTCAAACTTTTTCTGTCACGCCCTACTTTGGAGAAAGAAAAATGTTTATGCCCCACCGCCCCAACAAAATTGTAACAAAATGGTCCATGTTGAACTTTTATTGAAATAACAACATTTTGTGACTCCTCCATCTGTGCTTTTTCAAATAATAGAATAAAGAAAATTGCAATCACTTTCAAGTAAACCAGATTGCTCCATCAGACAAAAACAATGTGCAATCACTTTGTTAGAACAATGCAAATAAAGTTCTATCTGTGCAAAAAACAACTAATATTTGGCAAAGAATACACTACAAATCTTATTAAAACGGGGTTGCAGACTTGATACGGCCACTCTCAATTCATGCTCAATGTTGAGCTTAGATCTGTATTTTATTTTGAGAGAGGCAACAGCAGAAAAGCCGATCTCACAGAGGTAGGATGTGGCGAAGGGAAGCACACTAAGCTACACATGTGAGTCGCCAAGGATCTTGGCCATCGCGCATGCGCAAGCGTAACCTGTTAACGGCGTAACGTAAACATTTATACAAAAGTACAGCCATTTCGGCATGTATTTATTAATGACTTTAGTTTTATGTCCGTGTACTTTGTACTTTTGTAATATGTGAAGTTCTCAATAAAGTTCTTGAAATAAAAACATTCTGCATTTCTCCCTGCGCCCCACCTGTAATACCACTACGCCCCACTAGAGGGGCGCGCCCCACAGTTTGAGAAAGACTGGTGTCGAGGGAGAAGAGCAGTGGGGAGAGCACACATCCCTGAGGGGCGCCAGTGCTGATAGTCCGGGTGATGGATGTGATTTTTCCCAGCCTCACCTGCTGCGTCCTGTCTGTCAGGAAGTTTGTGATCCACTGAGAGGTGGAGGCTGGCACAGTGAGCTGGGAGAGTTTTGGTTGAAGTATTTCCGGGATGATGGTGTTAAACGCTGAGCTGAAGTCCACAAACAGAACCCTTGTGTATGTTATACATTATTCACATATTTCTAACGGCATAAAGTCTGATAGTCTGTGGGGAAACAGAATGAAACTAAGTACATTAACTCATATGAATATAAAATGTAATAATATAAATATTACATACTTTAAAGCTTTAGTTACTTTACTTATATAGATGCCATATATATATATAGTATCAATATATAATATATTATTATAGGTTAAGCCACCCAGCAGTTTCACCTTCACCAGCTGCAAAATGAAAGAGATGAACACATAAAGAGATGAACACATACAGTAAATTGATTTCAGTTCAATTTTGGTTTTAGTCCCATTTCATTAT